GATTGTTGATTCTCTGTTTGGCTTAGTTTTTCGGATCTTTGTTGTGGAGGGACGGCGTGGTGCTTCTGCCTAGACCGCCATCTTGCCGGAGTCCCGTCCTCCAACTTTTGACCTTTTATAAATACAATACTAAAAACTCGTTGCTGTCAAGTAGGCTCCAACTCATAGTTACCCTATAAGACAGAGAAGAACTGCCCCATATGGTTTCCAAGGAGCAGCTGGTGGTTTTAAAATGCCAAGCTTTTGGTTAGCAGCCGTAGCTGTCAACCACTGCGCCACCAGGGCTCCATTTACAAATAAAAGGTGTAACTAATTAGGTCTTAGGAATTTCACTACACTGTCTAAAGTCTTCAAGTAATTCTAAATTATAAAATTTATATTTGTAAAAATAATGACTTTATTTATAATAATCTAAGTTGTTAAGCTGTGTGTTTCATAATATCACTGTTAGAATCTGAACTGGTGAATTTGTAGTATTCCTGATTAATCATCTTTTTTTTTTCTTTTATACACCTTAAGCTAATTGAAGCCCTTAGGTAGTGAGTTTGAAAATGTACACTCAAAGATACTTTAACATATGGAATTTAAAAAATACTCTTGTAACATTTCATTTTAACATAGCTGTAAAGGTGTGTTAAGATAAATATTTTTCCAAATGGTGTTCAGAAATTATTTTAAAAGATTAAATTGAACATTTCAGTTGTTATTTTAATCTTTGCTTTAGGTTCCAGTATAATGCCAGCAGCTGGAACAATGTATCTAACAACTTCAACTGGATATCCTTACACTTATCATAATGGTGTTGCTTATTTTCATACTCCAGAGGTACCTTCTGTCCCACCACCTTGGCCTGTAAGTAATTTCATTTCACAAGGATCTCTTTTTTTATACAGGTATTACTATCAAAATTTTTTTTAAATATTTGTTTTTATTCTGTAATATTTAAGCCACAAATACAAATAAAACACCTGTGTACCTAACACCCAAATTTAACAGATGTCAATATTTTGTCATATTTACTTATTTTAAAAGGGAGGATACATATGACAAATACAGATGAAGTCTCCTTGCCCTCAATCCCTTACCTTCCCTTCGTCCTCGGGGTAATCAGAATATCTTTCCTGTCCATTTTATATGTTTTTACCAAAATTATGTCTATCCTTAAGCAATATATAGTATTGCTTTCAGTGGTTTTTAAACTCTATATAAATAATGTACTTTTCTACTCAGTATTATTTTGGTATTAAACCATGTAGATCTTTGTATATCTAGTTCACTTATTTAAATATTTTATAATGCTCCATAGTATAAGTGTTCTACAATTTTTTATATTAACCTGTTGATGAACATTTTAAGTTTCTCCCCATTTTTTTCTACAACCAAGGCTACCATGAATATCCAGACCTTTTGTGTACATGTGAGAGTTGGTCTAGGTCTTCAAAGTGTTTTGCCTATATTTCCTCTAAAAATTTTTTGAAAAATTATGTATCATCTCACTCATTCTTAAGTTGTTATCTGAAATTTATCTTAAGTTTAAATAGCTTAAGCATATTATATGTTATAGACTTGCTTTAAGTATATTTTGTCAAAACATATAAACTAATATAGCTGTATACTTAGCTTGTTTTAATAATGGTAAATTTATGCTCTATAATTAATTTGACAAAACTAGTCAACCAAATAAAACTCACTTTCCATTAGAAAAATCCAGACTTTATTTTTAAATTCAAATAAATGTTAAAATGTATCCCTTTGACCATCATATAAATTAGTTTGTCCTCTAGATAAAATAAGGTACCATCCCTCCTTCAATATTTCTTATACAAACTATTTGCTTTGTTCTCTTGGGACTATTTCTCAACAGCATTGCCTTCGTGAGTTGTCTGATGCCCTGGTGGTTTTTACATTCCAGAACAAAGCTTTATAGCCAAGATTTAGAATAAGTGAGAAGTTTGCCTTTCTGTAGTAAAGGAAAAGGGTGATTGTGAAAGAATAGTTTGGAAAAGAAGAATGCACAGACACATATCAAATCAGGAAGGAGTACATATGAAGTTTAGGATCTGAAAATTGATACTCTTAAAATTACTCATGCCCACGTTCACCTAGAAATTTTTGTGTTCCCCAGTGTACCATGGTCTAGGATATATGCCTAAAAGTAAAATTTCACATTCATAGAGTATGCACATCTTTAACTAGATGCCCAATAGCTCTCCAAAGTATAATAGTTTACACTCTTGCTAGCAGTTTTTAAGAACTCCAGTTTTTCCATAATCCTTGCCAACGCTTAAAATTATCAGATTTTTACATTTTTGTCAATGTTACTATGAAGTGGTATCTTGTTTTAATTTTAATTTGCCTAAACACTGGTAAGGTTGAACATATTTTCATATATTTATTGGCCATTTGGGTTTCTTCTTCAGTCACCTACCTGTTCATATCCTTTGTCCATTCTTCTACTGAGGTCTTTTTCTTGAGTTCATTATATGAATTTTGTGGGTTGTAAGTATCTTCTTCCAGTTTGTATTTTGTCCATTAACTTTGTTTATGATTTTTTGTGTCATACACAAGTTCTTTGTTCTAATGTTAACAGATGTGTTAATGTTTTCTTTTATGGTTTCAGCTTTTAGTATCTTGTTTAAAAAAGTCTTCCTTACCACAAGAATATAGATATTCTCCTATATTTTATTTTTAAAGTGCTAAAGTATGTCTGCTTTTCACATTTAAATCTTAAATCTAGAGTTTATTCTTCCTTTTTCCTGCTGCTTAAAAATGAATCCTCTGTCAAATACCAAGTTTCCCTGTGTGGAGGTCTCTTTCTAGGTTCTTTACTTTGCTCCATTGGTATATTTGCTAATTCTGCCCAATTCTATTTTAATTACTTAGGCTTTATAATAAATCTCGAGATCTGGTAGGGCAAATCTACCGACTTTGTTCTTCTGTATGAATGTCTTGTCTATCCTTAAGACTTTGCTTGTAAGTATAAATTTTGTAATTCAGATTGTTAAATTCTGTGAAAAGCACTTGTTGAGTTTTATTAGAATTTCATTAAGTATGCAGATTAATTTGGGACATTTGGGTATCTTTACAATATTGAATCTTCCCATCCATGAACATGATGTATCTCTCCATTTCTTTAGGTCTTCTTTATTTCCATCAAAAAAAGCTTTCTTCTCTATAAAAAAGTTTGACACATCTTTTGTTGGATTTATTATTAGGTACCTATATTTTTTGTTGCTTTTATGAATGGTATTTTTTTTAAATCACACTTCCTAGTCAGTTGTCACTGGTGTATAGTAATGCTGTTGATATTTATATATTGATATTATATCAGCAACCCTGCCAAATCCTCACTTAAACAATCATTTATTATTCAATATACTTCTGGGTTTTTTTTGTTTCCTCATTTCTTTTCCCCTTGAGTTATCACAATGACAAGGTGTCTCTGCATCTTGATCTTGTTCTTAAAAAAGGTAACAAGTTCAGTGATTCACCATTAAGCTTTATGTATATATACTGTCAATTTTGAAGATAACCAGGGTTTCTCAATTTTGGCACTATTGACCTTTTGGGCTGGATGATTCTTTGTGTGCTGTGCATAGGATGTTTAGCAGTGTCCCTGGCTTCTACCCACCAGATGCCAGTGCATTCTCCATAGTTGTGATAACCAGAAGTGTGTCTCAACATTGCCAAATGTTCCCAAGGGGGCAAAATCACCCCTGGTTGAGAATTACGGCCCTAAATCGATTAAGGAAATTACTTTGTATTCTATTTGCCAAGACTTTTTATCATTAAAAAGTATTAAATTTTAACAAATGCTTTTTCTGCATCTGCTGAGATTATATGGTTTTTTTCTCCTTTTATCTGTTAATACAATAAAAGGTTACTTACTCTGTTGTTGTTGTGTTACTTACTCTATTACTTTGAATAATCAACTGTTACATACTTCTTCACATAGATGTATTATTTATAAGTTTTAGGGGATGAGTTAACTCATTTAAATTTCAAATTAATAAACTAACAGCAGAAGTTGACAAATGTTTCAATAAATAATGTATTTGCTTTAATTAAATGTATAACAAGGGAATAGGATGTTGATTATAAAAATTCTTAAGTAGTGGGAAAATCAGATATGATTATTCATTCAGTTCTAAATGCCACCGTAAACATTAAACATCTACTGCTGCCCTCCATACTGAAAACAAGCAGTGTCACCCCAAGTCTAGCTGCCATTTTCCTCTAAATTTTCTCTTAGAACTATGTTTTTATAAAACATGGAACACTTAGAACAAAGTTTTTATAATCTTTGGAGATGATAATTATATTTCAGTATAAAAGCAACTTTTCTGGTGGTGGTTTTAGCATGAGTATTGAAACCCCTTAAAAGTAGGATACTATGATGATTTTAATAACAAACCTTAGTATTTTTAATAAAATCAGTAAGAAATAGAAAAATAAAATTTCTAATCATAAGCCAGAAGTTGACTGGGCTTAGGAAACCAATTTGAGATCAGTTTTATTCTGAGTTATTTTAAGGAATTTTTGCCTAAAAATAATTTTCCTATTTTTCTTTCCTCTTACAGTCACGTTCTGTATCTAGTTCCCCTGTGATGGTAACTCAGCCGGTTTATCAGCAACCTACATATCATTACCAGGTAAACATTAAATTAATATTAAAATACTCTTTTATACTTTCAGAGAGGTTTTTTGTTTGTTTTTGTTTTGTTTTTTATGTTTTTTTTTGTAGCTCACTTTATTCTTTATCATGCAAATTGTCTGCTAATTAAAAAGAGAAGATAGTTAAGCCCTTGATAACAGTTTGTTTGTTTGTTTTTTCCCCTTTTTTATGAGGGAACTAGACAGTGTCATCCAAGAAAATGGACTGTTGCTTCCTTTCACCAAACAGCTAACATTTCATCTAAAAAGTCTATAGCAATAATTCCCAAAGTAAGATATAGGTATTGTACCACAGGCTGATTTTTTAATGTTAGTGTTAAGATTGTATCAGTTACTTATTGTTTTATTAAATTTAACATAATGTATATTAAAATACGTAATATGTTATGGTTTGTTATATGACAGCCTCTTTAGTTAACCAGCATTCTTCTTTTCATTATTTCTGGTAGGAGACTGGGGAAAAATGAGCTATAATGCCAGATCACTTAGGTCTATAGCAGGGATGAGCAAACTATGGTGTGTAGGCCATATACAACCTGCAACCTGTTTTTTGTAAATAAAGTTTTACTGGAACATAACCATATTTCTTTACATATTGTCTGTGGCTGCTTTTGTACTATAATGGCAGAATTCAGTAGTTGCAACAGAGATCTTATAGCCTAAAGCCTAAAACATTTACTCACTGGCCTTTTACAGAAAAAATCTGCCAACCTCTGGTCTACAGCACTCACAAATAAAATCACATTTTTTCATAGCCTCTGAAATAGTGGCAAAAAACAAAAAACCAAACCTGTTGCCGTCAAGTTGATTCTGACTCACAGCTACCTTACAGGACAGAGTAGAACTGCCCCATAGAATTTCCAAGGAGCAGCTGGTGGATTCAAACTGTCGACCTCTTGGTTAGCAGCCGAGCTCTTAACCACTGCACCACCTATTTCTGTTTCTTTATATTTCTTTTTGAACTTTTAAAATAGATCCATATGAAATGGTAAATGAAGATTACTGGAATTCTTTTTACTATTAGACTAGGTTTTGGAGAGGTCAGTTATTTTTAAATTCTAATGCTATGCTAAGTAAAAACTAGTGTTTCTTTCATTTACTAAAAATGAAAACAATGCAATGACATTTATTTAAAATACAATGTAGCATAACTTTTCCTGAGCTGACTTAGAATTTCAGCAGAGGCCACAAATAAAGACTGAGAACATTAAGTACCAAACCATTTAAGCATGACAAGCTAAAAAATTGTGAAACCAGTTTTAGGACCCTTAGCTCATTGCCCACTTCGAGCACATGTAATGGGAAGCTGAGATTGATGAGGGAGATTGGTAGAGAGGCTTCCTTTAACAAAAGAGTTGTTAGAATGTTGTGGCATTTCTCCTCCTCCTCAACCAAGTGAAGGGGACCTCAGAGCATGACTGAGAAAGCCTGATACCTGTCCCCTGGAATTTGAGGACTGTCAGGACTTGAATCTAACCTCTGCCTAATTTAGAACTCCAAAGAAGAAAGGCTACAGTGGGAATGAGTTGAACTTCCATGTTTCCCCAGAGCAAGATGTGAATGTCACAAAAGAGACTCTTAACTTTAAGGTGACTCCAACAGAGAAAGAATCTGTGAGGTGGACTTCTGGAATCAAAGGCTGAGGGAGAACTGTAATTGCAGTAAGGAGTTTCCAGCAGGGAGATCACTAAAGAATCTATTAAAGTGCCCTAACTAGAGAGTTAGCATTTGGAATCTGCCACACTCAGAAAGTGATCTGTACTGGTTCTTATCCAGGGGCAAGGAAGAACAGCTCAACAGAATGCTTTTAAAGTGGCAGGGGTGAGAAAGAATAAAGTTGCTTTCTGTTTGCACCCTGTTGAGTCCAGATCATCCATTATTTGATAAACACACAGGGTCGCTATAAGTCAGAATTGACTGGATGGCAACAGGTTTTGTTTTGTTTTGTTTTTTTAATACTTCACTTTCTAAATCAGATGTATTCTGAAAAGTTTCTAATAAAGTTTAATTTTATACAGTGACTTCAGTTTTCTGCTTTACATAAATCACAAAACTGGAGATGTGTTACCTGGATATACTGAGGAAAGATTTAGTATCAATTCATAACATATCAGTGTTTTGCAATATAAGAAATAATTTCACTTCACATATTTTTTCCAAGTTACATAGTCACCATTATTCTGCCCTTAAAATTGCTATTTAATAGGAATCTTCCTTTGCTCTTTCTTTTACACAAATTCTAAGACTGATAGTTTTATCCGTTTATATTAGTCAAAGCAGGTAATGGATGGTTTAATTAGTATTTACCTCCATATTACTTCCTCGTAAGTAGATGGTGATTTTATTTATCTAACAAATGGAATCATACAATATGTGGTTTTTTGTGACTGGCTCCTTTCACTTAGCATAATATTTTCAAGGTTCATCCATGTTGTAGCATGTATCAGTATTTCATTACTTTTTACGGCTGAATAATATTCTATTGTTTGGATATACCACATTGTATTAATTCATCAGTTGATGGAAATTTGGATTGTTTCCAGTTTTTGGCTATTATCAGTAATGCTGCTGTGAACATCAGTATGCAAGTTTTCTGTGTGGACATATGTTTTCACTTCTCTTGGTTATATACTTAGAAGTGGAATTGTTAGGTCATATGGCAACTCTCTGGAAACCTTTTGAGGAAATGTCAGACTGTCCACCAAAATGGCTACACCATTTCACATTCCAACCAGCAATGTTTAAGGTTCTAATTTCTCCACATCCTAGCCAACACTTGTTATTATCTTGTGGTTAGCAGTCTTTTCGATTATAGACATTCTAGTGGGTATAAAGTAGTATCTTATTATGGTTTTGATCTGCATTTCTTTGATAGCTAATGATGTCGAGCATCTTTTCATATGCTTATTGGCCATTTGTATATCTTCTTTGGAGAAATACCTATTCAGATCCTTTGCCCATTTTTTAATTTGATTATTTGTCTTTTTATTATTGAGTTGTAGGAGTCCTGTATGTATTCAGATACTAGTCCTTTATCAGATATATGATTTGCAAATAATTTCTCCCACTCTGTGGGTTGTCATTTTGCTTCCTTGATGGTGTCCTTTGCGGCACAAAAGTTTTCAATTTTGATAAAGTCCAATTTATCTATTTTTTTCTTTTATTCCTTATAATTTGGGGCTCATACTTTAAGAAGCATTACCTAATCCAAGTTTACAATGATTTATGCCTATTTTCTTCTAAGAGTTTTATAGTTTTAACTCTTACACTATAGGTCTTTGATCCATTTTGAGTTAATTTTTGTATATGATTTGAGGTATAGGAATCCAACTTCATTCTTTTGCATGTGAATATCCAGTTTTAACCCATATTTTTAATCTGGGTTGGTGTGTGTTTGTTTTTTTCATTTTAGGCCCCTACACAATGTCTACCAGGACAGTGGCAGTGGGGTGTTCCTCAGGTAAATATTAACTTTCAGTATCTAATTTAAAATACCTTTTTTCATTGTGTTTTTGTGAAGACTACATGAATATTAAAAGTCAGGAGAACTAGGTATCACTGTATTGCTCAGTTTCCTCATTTATTAAATGGAAGTAACAATATCATACCTTTGTAAGTTTCCTTGCATAATTTTTGTGAAGATCAAATGAGATAACATAAAATGTAAATGAAAGCATTTTATCAATGAGTACTATATAAACATAAAAAAATACTTTTTTTACTATTAGTATTATTGAAAAATTTAGTATTTTTCTAGCCTCACTTTAGATTTTGCTTCAGTTTGACTTATGTTCCTTTTCCATTTCCCAACTTTTGATAACAAATAGTATACCACCATAAATTATTGTTAAATGACATTTTCTCATTTCCATAAGAATTCACAATTAAAGTTGAGAGCAGAAATGTATGCCAGTTTACACTTTTTAATGGTGATCTTAATGTTTCTGGAATTATTTTCTGAATTTACATATGAGATTCTGAGGCACTAGGAACTTTTAGTATTTACCAATGTTAAAGTTCTTTAATGACATATACACAATTAGAATTTATAACAGCCGAGTTCCTAGTCTGTTGCTAGGATACTCCTATGTTGTCCCCGAGAAATGAACTTTAAAAAAGTATGAAACCAACAAAAATCGTATCTGTTGGGTAAGTTATTTGGTTTAACAGAAATAACAGATCACATTTGGATTAGGAGTATGGTTTTGTGTTTTAGTCACCTGCTTCTTCTGCTCCATTCTTATACCTACAACCTTCTGAGGTTATTTATCAGCCAGTGGAAATTGCACAAGATGGTGGGTGTGTTCCCCCTCCACTGTCTCTGATGGAAACTTCAGTTCCAGAGGTATGTACTAGTCTTTAAATTGCTCTGTACCTACCTCATCTTAACATTTATTTTTCTTTTTTTATTTGTTCAAAACCCTTTTTGAAGGTGCTTCACATATGATTTATTCAGATAAATCTTCCCCTTTGTGATATCTAAGAATGATTCATCTTAAGACTTCTTCACTCTAACTAATTCTAAACCATTCCCCAGATCAGCTGGTCACTAGGCTAATCTCTGACCCTCTCTCCTTTAAATAATAAGATACCAAATTCTTCACCGCCTTCTGGTTTTGCCTGTCAGTCTATATTTTTGCTAACATACTGCCAATTAAAAGCATGTAATAACGAAGTCAAAAAGGAAAAAAATGTTTTAGATTCTTCCTACATTTAAATCAAATTTATTTTATAAATACAAATTGTAAATCTCATCTTCAGTGTCTTTTATTCCTGAACCATTACTAATAGCTGCACCATCTGTGTGCCAGAAATTATGCATTGTTGTTGTTGTTAGGTGCAGTCGAGTTGGTTCAGACTCATAGCGACCCTATGTATAACGAACGAAACACTGCACAGTCCTGCGCCATCCTCACAATTGTTGTTATGCTTGAGCCCATTGTTGTAGCCACTGTGTCAATCCATCTCGTTGAGGGTCTTCTTCTTTTCGCTAACCCTCTACATTACCAAACCAAGCATGATGTCCTTCTCCAGGGACTGATCCCTCCTGATAACATGTCCAAAGAATGTGAGACATGGTCTCACCATCCTTGCTTCTAAGGAGCATTCTGGTCGAATTATGCATGGTATGTTTTAATCAGTGTTGTGAAAGATTGGGAAATTAGCACACACCTCTCAATTTTAATTCACTGTATTATTATTTTATTTTGCTAAAATTTATAACATTATAATTCTGTTCTGGAACAATAATTTCCACAGTTGTTCAGTTTAAGTTTTATTTAAATGAATTTGAATATATACTATCAATACTTCAACTAGAATTCCTCCATTCTTTCTACTCCCCCCTTCCCCATTATTTATCACTTGGTTGACTGGATCTGCAAGTAGTCTTTTTTTTCCTAGAAAGCTTATAGTGCTATAGTCTCCTCGTTCTTACATGCTTAAGAGTGTTTGTTGCCTATATACTTGAAGGAAAATAAGGCTAGCTATAAAATAGTTGCATCATACTTTTTTCCCATAGAATTTCTAGTCCACTCTTTTCTGGCACTGAATATATCTATAGAGTTGAAGCCAGCCTAATTTTCCCCCACTGTACATAATTTGCTTTTTCTTCCTGAATGCCTGAAATGTCTGTCTTAACCTGAAATCATTTCATCAGGATATATGTTGGTATTTATCACTCTGTATAATATTTTTCCTGGGACACAGTTTTCCTTTTTGATTTTCAGCCTCTTTTATTTCAGGATGGCTTTTCTTCTCTTTTTCTATTAACGCTTTGAAAAAAAATGTATCCCAGTTTGTTTTCTTCTTCATGAACACCAATTATGCATACGTTAGATGTCTTTCATTTTTCATATTTATCATCTCTCAGGTAATTTTTTTTTTTGTCATCGTGCTTTTTAATGTTGTTTTATATGCTTTTCCAAGACTGTCTTCTATGACCATGAGTGTATTTTTGGTTGTGTGTAGTCTACTTTTCATTATAACTAATGAGGCTTTCATTTCTGTAATAATTTTATCTTTCTCTTCCTTTTTATCTCAAGCTCTGCCACCTTGTTTTTCATTTCTTCCTGTTGTCTTAAAATCTCTTTTTTGAGCCCATTTTTAGAGTTCATATACTATAATTTCTTTAATATTATAAAGAATTATATTTATCTGAACTTTTCCTCTATTTTCTGGGAGACTTCCTTATCTTTTTCTTCAGCTTTTTGCTCTTTCCTTGATGGAAAGAGAGAATGGAAAAAGGCAGTATCAAGCTTAGGTTACTTGCTTGTTCTTTCCCCTCTTTAAACCAATAAATACCCAAATGCTGCCGAGTCGATTGTGACTCATGGCAACCTGTGTGTGCAGAGTAAAACTGCAATCCGTGAGGTTTTCAATGGGCGTGACCTTTCAGAAGTAGATCACCAGGACTTTCTTCTGAGGAGTCTCTGAGTGGGTTTGAACCTCCAACCTTTCAGTTAGTAGTCAAGCACTTAACTGTTTGCGCCACCTGGGAACTCCTAGCACCTTGTAGGAGGCAATTATTCTTTAACACAACTCCCATCAACACTTTAATTCTCTACTACCTTTCAAAACCTAGCTTTTTGAAAAAGTAGTCTACATTCAGAAGCCCTGGTGGCACAATAGTTAAGCACTTGGCTGCTAACTGGAAGGTCAGTGGTTCAAACCCACCAGTGGCTCCATGGGAGAAAAGATCGGGAGATCTGCTCCTGTAAAGAGTTATAGCCTAGGAAACCTTATAGGGCAGTTCTGCTATGTCATATAGGGTTGCTATGAGTCGGAATCGATTGGACAGCACACAACAGTCTACATTCACTACCTCCTCACTACCAGTTCACCCCTCTCCTGCTGAAGTTTGCTTCATTGCCTCTCTGCTGAAACTGCCTTTGATAAATATCCTCAATGACTTCCTAATTGCCAAATATTTTCCCTTCTTTTCAATCTTGCTTGACCTCTCAGAGACACTGGTCATCCTCCTTGAAACTCTTCCTACCCTTGGTTTTCATGATATTGCTCTCTTCTGGTAATCCTTTTACTTCCTTTTATTTTCCTTTGTAAGCCGATCTTTTGTTCCTTATGATTTAGTTCTGTATTCTTTCACCCTATATACTCTCTCTGGTGTTATCAACCATACTCATATCTCTAGCCCCAGCTTCACTCCTGAGTTTTAGACCTGCACTGTCCAATACATGTGGCTATTGAGCACTTGAAATGTGCTAGTCCAAATTGAGATTTGCTGTAAGTGCAAAATACACGTGAAATTTGGAACACATGGTATGAACAAAATATAAAATATCTCAATAATTTTTATATTGATTGCATGTTGAAATGATAGTATTTTTAATATATTGGCTTACATAAAATATACTGATAAAAATTATTTTTACCTGTTTCTTTTTACTTCTTTTAATGTGGCTACTGGAAATTTCTGAATTACATATGTGGCTCACATTATATTTCTATTGGACAGTGGTACTCTAGCACCACCTACCTTTCAATCAACAGGAAGGACACTTCTACTGGAAGTCCTACAAATACCTCAGATTTTATGTTACAAATTCTCACCCTTTCTCCAAACCTTCTCCCTCACCTCCAACCTCCTCACAATTACATAAACATCAAATGTGTTTCTTATACTCCGTATCACAATGAATGGTACTACCATCTGTTGGACAAGCCATAAGTCTTCTTTAATATATGTCCCTTTCCTATTGCTCTACTGCCTCATTTTTCAGCTGTTCCTTAGTGTATAATCTTCCTTCCAGCCATATCAAACACCCTGGGTAGATCTCCCAAATGAACTGTTCTTACTTGCTTCTATGCCCTTGCTCATACTATTCCCTCCTTCTTTTCCTAATTGTTCAAGCTCAAGCATGAACTCTAGTAGGAAACATTCCCTGATCACACACTCTTCCTTAAGCTAATTCAACTAGTTTTTCCTTTCTCCCATGCATCTCTGTGCATATCTCATAAGACTTTAATCTGACTGTTTATCTATTTTCCTAATCAGACTATAAATTAAAGATACGAAATGTTTTTCATCTGTTTTTCTCCATCATATAGCAAATTGCCTAGTATATTGTAAATGTTGAATAAATGTTTTGAATTAATAAATGAAAGGCAGTATGGATTTGTCTCTCACTCTCTCTTTTTCTGCAATAGCCTTATTCTGATCATGGAGTTCAAGCAACGTATCACCAGGTTTATGCTCCAAGTGCCATTGCTATGCCTGCGCCTGTGATGCAGCCTGAACCAATTAAAGTAAGAAACTCGTTGTGGTTTATTTTTGTTTTTCTTCAGTTATATTTCAAGTTTTCAAAATTCCTCTTCTGAAAAGTAACAACTTTAGATATTTATACTACGTTTGTGACCAGAAGTACAAAATTAGTGTGTTATTTTGTGTGAAGGAGATGCAATTCTAAATTAACTATATTTCTTATTAATTAGTGTTAAAGAAGTTATAAACCATACATCGTCAATTTTTTTGTTTATTGTACTTTAGATGGTTTACAGAACAAACTAGTTTCTCATTAAACAATTAGTACACATATTGTTTTATGCCATTGGTTAACAACCCCACGACATGTCAACACTCTCCCTTCTCGACTCTGGGTTCCTTATTATCAGCTTTCCTGTCTCCTCCTGCCCTCTAGTCCCTGTCCCTGGCCTGTTGTGCCCCTTTAGTCTTGTTTTGTTTTACAGGCCTGTCTAATCTTTGGCTGAGGGGTGAACCTCAGAAGTGCCTTCATTACTGAGCTAAAAGAGTGTCCAGGGGCCATCTTTCAGGGTTTTTCCAGTGTCCATCAGGCCAGTAAGTCTGGTCTTTTTTTTGTGATTTAAAATTTTCTTCTACACTATGTTCATGGCAGCATTGTTCACAATAGCAAAACGATGGAAACAAGCTAGATGCCCATCAACAGATGAATGGATAAACAAACTATAGTACATACACACAATGGAGTACTATGCAATGAGAAAGAACAACAATGAATCTGTGAAGCATCTCATAACATGGATGAAACTGGAGGACATT